CTTTATCTGTGAAATACAATACCTGAAGTGGAGAAAAACAGACTCAGTTTCTCTTATACTCTTACAGTATAGACTGCTTCTGAAACCAGATGTGTGACCTGTCCCCTCCCTCCCTGCCCCCACCCAGCAAGCAGGGAGTTCTTTAGTGAACACCAGCTGAGTGTATTCTAACTCAATTCAGTTCTGAGTCTGTCTGGAGGTTGATCCCACAGATTGAGAGCTCAGTCCCCAAGGTAGCCCCTACCTCAGATGCCAGCCATGCTCTCCTAACTGTGCTTTCACCAACTGGCTATAAACCGGGATTCCTGCAACCCTCCCTGGATTGGATTAATTTGCTCAAGTGGTTCACAAAGCAGAGGGAAATACTTCCTTACAGTTACTGGTTTATCACAGGATATTACAAAGGATGAAGATGAAGAGACGCATCAGTGAGGTAGGAGAAGAGGCTTCATGCCCTCTGAAACCCCCGTCTTGAAATTCAGGACTGGGTCCTTGTTCCCCTGGTATTGAATAAACCCCCGGAGGAAAGCCAAGGCAAGAGCGGAAAGTAAATTTTATTTAAGAAATAAAACAGAAAGAGGGGAGGGAGGGAGAGAGGGAGAGCGAGAGAGGGAGAGGGGGAGAGAGAGAGAGACTCCTCCAGAAAGGAGGGGGTCCAGAACTGATGCCCAAGAGAGTGGGAGTGTTTTGCACCTTTTATAGATTTCAGGTTTCATTTCTTCTCGTGTCTTCTTCACCCACCTTGCCTATGTGACCAAAAATGACCAGAAGGGCAGGAAGAGAGCCCTTTAGGAGGTGATTGCTTGTGATTCCTTCCCCTCCCCCAGAGGTTGTTAGCAGCCAGATGATGGGGAGTGCTGTCTACCCATTTCCTTTTCTTTGATAATTAGCTACCTGGCCTTTGCCCCATCTCACCTGCACACTCCAGGAACCTCCACAGGTCCAGCCACCAGGCTCTCAGAACCCTGTGCTTTTGGGGGTTTATGGAGGTTTCTTTCCATGGGTGTGACAGATTAAATCACTGGCCACTGGTGATCCACTTAGCCCGCAGCCCCTCTCTCTTCCCTGGAGGTTGACTCTGCCTTGGTCTTTCAGGGACCAGTCCCATCCTGAAGCTGCCTGGGCTGCCAGTCAGCAGCAGGCTCAGCAGCGGGCTCAGCAGCGGGCAAGACATATCACTTCAGAGATTTCAAGGACCTTAGGAGCTGGATGTCTGATTAGGGGAGGAAGACCAAATATATTTCACTATATCACACTTGGGGAATGCTTTCAAAGCTTGGATAAGTTTAGAAATCTGCCCAGTTTTTACTGTTTCTGATCCTTTGTTAACATCAGGCATGTTGTTAGTTATATTTGATCCAACTGAATAGTTTCCTTCTCTTTCTAACTTTCTGGAAGTTTTAACATGGTTGAGTGATGAATTTCTTGAGGTTATTTTTTCTATCTGTTATGGTGATCATAGAGTTATCCTGTTTCTCTACTGGTAAGATGAATTACATAGATTAATTTCCAACATCATCTTCCTGAGATGAATACCGCGTTCTTAAGTTTTATTTTACCCCCTATTTCATTGATACAGTTCACTGCAGATGTTCTTGCTCCTCGGTGTTGAAGATCACACCCTGGAGAGACAAGGAAGCAAGCATAGAGAGCGAGTTTTATATAAGAAAGTGATATAGACAGACTCCTCTGAAGGGAAGTGGGGCTGCAGAGCTGGAATCCCCTGGGGGGGGGGGGTGACTTGCTTTCTTATAGACTCTGTTTTTTAATGATTGTCTTCTCTTTCTTCTCTGTATAGGGGACTGAGAGCAGGGGTGTGAAGGTTAACTGTTAGCAACATGTTGTTCTTTCTTTGATAACCAAGCATTATCCTTTCTCTCTGGACCCCCATCCTTCATTATCTTCACTGACTGCCTGACCTTTGCCCCTGCCCCAGTTTGCTGAGGAACATGACATATCCTGTCCACTTAGGCCAGGCAGGGTTGCAGGCAAAGAAAGCATGTAGGGGTCAGCATAGTGAGCCCAATTATAGAATCATTCTCAGCCTCGAGTTCCTACTATCCTCATCTGTTTCTCCCCTAACATTGTCAGATGTGAGTTGCTGATATTTTCATAAGGAAGACCTATTGGTAATGAGGTAAAATGGAGAAGAAATAAAAGGTAGGTAGAAAGGCCTCCTTCTCACAAATGTTTCTCTAAAAATGGGCACCCCTCACTCTTGAGATGGCTCGAATTCTACTCTAGAAATGTGCATCTTCAAGCCCTTCCACTTTTTTAACAAAGTTTTTCCTCTGCTAGAATCTGACTTCTCCTTAAATTCTTTTCAGGATATGTCAAGAGCCTGAAAGATCCAAGTAGAAGTCTCTTCTGCCTCTGTGGAGATCTCCAACCTCTATGCATTCTGTGTTATCTTCTTGCAAGCTCCTTATTGGCTTGGCGCACGAGTTATGTGGCCTTATGAAATGAAGGACAGGGCACTTACTCTTACACTGTTCTTTATACAATTGGTATTATTTCTTTCTTAATGTTTGACAGAATTCACCAGTGAAACTGAGACAGGGATTTAGGGTGTATAGAGAGATACTGAGTCTTGAAGGAAACGTCCATGAGCCATTGAGACACAGAAAGCACAGTGGGAAACATCAAGGGACATGCACTGGGCCATACCCTTGTAAAACGAGGGAAATTCACTGGCATAGACTTGTACAGCTCCACCTACCTCTGCCTCTTGTCCAGCCCCAAGCACCAGCCCCTATAAATATGAACACCTGCACCAATAGGTTGGTGTCTCTCCCTCTGCAGAGCCTGCCCTCTTCCTCGGGTGCATGTTCCTTGCTTTACCCAGAGACATCTCTCTTTTGAGACTGAGGCTGTTCTTCCTTGAAGAGCATCTGCTTTCCTAAAGACACCTCCATTTACACCTTGGGCTGACACATTCTGAAACTCTTTTCTGTATTGTGCCAAAAACCCCTCTGGTCCTGAGTCAAGTTCTCCCTTTGGGAACTCCTCAGACACTTCTTGGGAGATGTCTCTCCTCCCATGAATCTCTCTTCTCTTCCTCATTTCTCTTCTCTTCCTTTTTGTGTCTTTCCAAACCTTTTTTTTAAATTAAATTAAATTAATGAATTATTTATTTAAACCACCTAGATCATATTTTTTGCTATGACAAGATCTTAATTACAGATTCAATTTCTTTGTAAAGCAATTCATATTCCTTTTTGTGTGGCAGTATTGTGAATGGAACCCAGGAGTACTCTACCACTAAGCCATATCCCCTAGCACTTTTTATTTTGAGATAGGGTCTTGCTAAGGTTTCCAGGCTGGCCTTGAACTTGCAACCCTCCTGCCTCAGCCTCCTGAGTTGCTGGAATTACAGGTATAATTCATACATTCTTAACTTTTTTCTTGCCTTAGTTTCAGAATGTTTGATTTTTCAAGTGTTTCCATTTCATATAAGTTGTCAATTTATTGATGTTGGGAATAATATCTACAAGCCTTTCATGATCTATGGTAATCTTTCTCCCCTTTTCATTCCCAATATTGGTAATTTGCATTTTCTCTTTGATCATTTCTTGTTAGTGATTTATTAATTTTTTAAATTAAAAGAACTAAATTTTGGTTTTGTCAATGTTTCATTTTTTTCTGTTTTCAATTTCACTGATCTCTGCATTTCTTTTTTCTACTCACTTGAATTTAGTTTATTCTTTGCTTTGAAACTTTTTGAAATAGAAGCTTAGATCACTGACTTCAGCCTTTCCAGAAAGATTTGAGAGCTGTCGTTTCTATCTAACAGCTGCTGTATTTGCTTCCTACCAGTTTGTGTTTGTTCTAATTTCGTTTTGATTGACTTTTAATATGGTCTAATTTCCTTTTTTCTTTTTTGGATCCCTGTATTACTTTAGCACGTGTTTAATTTCCAAATATTTAAGGATTTTGAGATTATCATTTAATTATTGATTTTCTAGTTTTATTTCTTTGTGTACAGAGTACTGTGTGTGTGTGTGTGTGTGTGTGTGTGGTACTAGGGATTGAATCCAAGGGTGCTATACCACTGAGCTATATCCACAGCCCTTTCTATTTTTTATTTTGAGATAGGGTCTCACTAAAGTTAACATCTCTCATCTCTTCCTCATCTCTCTTCTCATCCTTTTTATGTCCTTCCAAACCTTTTATTTTTTAATTTAATTAAATTAATGAATTATTATTATTATTATTATTATTATTATTATTTGGTACAGGGGATTAAACCCAGAGACACTTTACCAATTTAAAAAACATCTACAACAGCGATTGTTTCTCCTTTTGATCTTGTCAGTTTTTTTAAATTTTTTGTTTAATTAATTTTAAAGTTCTGCTAAATGCATACACATTTAATATTAAATGTTTCTGTTGGATAGATTCTCTTATTATCATGCAGTGCCTTCTTCACCCTTAGTAACTAACATTCATACTTTGAGCATGATATATCTATTTCTAATCCTTTGTTTTCACTGTACCTGTGTTTTCATATTTTTACCATGTGTTTTTAACCATGTGTCTCTAAACATGCATCACTGTATAGCTGGAACTTGTTTCTTTCTTCAGGTCGACAATCTGCCATGTATGATTCCTACTGTATTGAACAGTGCAGAGCATCCACACTGCTGAAAGTTATCTTAGCTCTCAGAAATTGAGATCAGGATTGATTTTGAGTCAAAATTCCTCAGGTCAAGGCAGAATATTATGGAAAGAGAAATATCATAATCTGATGTGCATATTTGCCATGTCCTTACTACAGATTAGCTGAGTATCTCTAGGCAAGTATCCTTACTGCCTTGAACCTCCATCCCCCTCGTGAACCATGGAGCTAACAGCTCTGCTCTTTCTGCTTCATAAGTGCTTGTGAGAAACATTAATGGTAATGTGCTTTACTAAGGTTAAAGCAGTCTTTTAACAAACAAAAATCATTACTCTTTTAAAGCAGGTTGACTCAGTTTTCTGTGTTTTCTTTTCACTTTTAGATTGCTGACAGAACTGGAATCGCCTTCATGGTGGCCTTTCAGCTCCAAGCTTTGGAAGACACCAGTAGAAGTAAAGCCCAGGGAAAGCACCTCCATGGCTGGTTCTGAGCCATTTGGAAAGGAGGGGGTCGTGGCCAAAATCCCTGCTATTATTTCCCAAAGAACAGAGTTCCATGTTAAGCCAGGAAGGCTCACCATCCTGGTTTCTGGGTTGGAAATCCATGACTCCAGTTCTTTGCTCCTACACAGGTTTGAGAGGGAAGACCTAGATGACATTAAGGTGCACTCGCCTTATGAAATCAGCATTCGCCAGCGGTTTATTGGAAGACCAGATGTGGCCTATCGAGTGATATCTGCCAAGATGCCAGAGGTCATTCCCCTTTTAGAAGTACAGTTCAGCAAGAAGATTGAGCTGCCACAAGAGGCCTCTGTGCTCAGGAGCACAGGGGCTTCTTCCTCCACAGAGAGGAGCTGGTCCTTCTGGCATGCAGGTAAGTGACCCAACCAGATAGCCCTTGTGTCCAGACATAAAGCAGTTTCTAGCTACTCTACTCAGTCTGGACACTGCAAGTTTGACTGCTGAGTTATACCGTATACTCGATAGACACTTGGATTTCAAAACTGGTCAGCGCCATGGTGGGATTTTGGATATCCCCTAAGGACCCCTGTGTTGAATGAAGGCTTGGTCCCCTGGGTGGCACTACTGAAAGGTGGTAGAACTCCTTAGAGGTCGGGCCTGGTGGAAGGTCCTTAGGTCATTAGGGATATGCCCTTGAAGGGGATTGAGGGACCCCAGCCCCTTCCTGTCTCTTTTGCTTCCTGGCTTGTGATGAGGTGAATGGTTTTACTCCTCCTTGTGCTTGTGTCGTGATGTGCTGCCTCACCACGGGTCAGAAACAGTGGGATTGCCTGATCTCCAATTGGGAACCTCTAGAACTGCATGCCAAATTAAAACTTTTTTCTTTATAACTTGACTCAGGTATTTTATTATAGGACTATATGTATTATTATATGTGTGAATTCATGTTGTTATAACAAAATACCAGAAACTGGAAACATTATAAAGAAAAAAAGTTCATTTATCTTATGGGTTTGGAGGCTTAAGGCCCAAAATGGAGCAGTCCCTTCTATTTGGTCTCTTGTGAGGGCCTCATGGCAGATGATATTGTACTAGGAGTATGTGTAAGAGGGAGAGGTCATATGGCAAGACAGAAAGCCAGAGAGATTCAGAAGTCAGGCTTGTACTTTTATAAAAACTTGACTTTTCAGGAACTCATTAGGATCTCATAAGAACTACTTTAATCCCTTCTGAGGGCAGCACCCCAATCACTTAAGGACTTCCCACTAGGCTGCAACCCTTAAAGTCCCAGCACATATCAACATTACTACAAGGAGACCAAGCTCTGAACACGTGACCTCATATACACCTTCCACATCTGAACCATAGGAAGGGGCATTGCTAGTCGTTCAGAATAAAGAAACTCCACATCCACTGTCCTCTCTTCATCTCCTCAGATTGATTCAAGAATGAGGACTCACAGCCCTAACCTGGCATAAGTTACCTCTGCTGGTGGGCCACCCTCCCCATGCCTCCCAGCCATCCAACCTCCCCTGGCTCAAGGCATGAATCTACCAAGCCAGAGACCAGGTATACTTTCATTGAGAACATGGCAGTGCCATGAGCTTTCAGCTTTCTCCAGATGCTCTACAATGGGGCATTGTGGAGCATGACACTAAACTAGATATGACCTGAGAGTCCAGCAAGAGAGGACATATATTTGGACATGCGTTCATCCACCAAACTCTTGAGCTATTCCTGCATAGGGACTGGGTAAGGGTTCATAGAGAGATGGAGACAAACATGTAAAAAATCACATGCTACGACACAGAACAGAATACAGGTATTTGGTATGAGAAAGAAAATTGTCACAAGAATACTCAACCATAAATATCCATTGAGATGTGAGTTGAGGGCAAGAGGGATCATGGATCTGCCCTTCTAAACTGAAACTGAAAAGAGGGGAATTGTTGGACTTCAAAGAGACTTGCCATCTTGGTGAGGTAGTGACTGTCCTAGAGGAGTGGGCAGTGGGAGGTCCTGGGTGTGTGACTGCATGAAGGAGTTGTGCCATCTTGTGGAAGTGTGACTGTCCTAGAGGAGTGGGCAATGGGAGGTGACTGGATATGTGAGTGCTTGGAGGAGGTGTGTGGCACTTGGGGAGGTGGTGACTGTCCTAGAAGTGTGGGCAATGGGGAGGTGACTGGGTGTGTGACTGTGGGGAGGAGATGTGGCACTTGGGAAAGTGGTGACTGTCCTTGAGGAGTGGGCAATGGGAGGTGCCTGGGTGTGTGACTGCAGGGAAGAGGTGTGTGGCACTTGGGGAGGTGGTGACTGTCC